ATTGTGACTTGAGAATATAATCCGAAGCTGCGCTCAACCCCTTGAGAAAAGTAGCGTGTCGCTATAAATATTGTACTATGGTGCGGGTAGTGGAGTAAGCTTATAAATTTTTTCGGTTGTTAAATAGATACTTACAATTAGATAGTTGGATTCATAATGGCTTAAATAGGATAATCTCAAGATTTTTTCTTAAATGTACAACAGTTTTGTAATATATAAAAATCTATCGCTATTTTTATCTAAAGATTTTGAACTTACCTTTTTGAAGTCTTATTATAATAATATTATAGTTACTGGTACCAATAATAAAGAAATGGCTCCTTTAAAAAATGTATTTATTATACATTTTCTTTTATATTTCTCAAGAAAAAGTTTGCTGCAAATTATTGAGCTCTTCTTTGGATTCCAACCAACCAGCCCAATTAACCATTTTTTTTTTCTAATTACAGAATCCGGAGGGAATATGTTTGACAAACAGCAAAATAAAATTACTTTTTTAAAACGCAAACTGAGCATTTATCTATATATATATTTATCTATGGCATTTATTTTCATTCCTCTTCTTGTTGTGTGGGCAAGTCTATCGATTCATTAGAAACATTCAAGATAAATATCGACAATAATTTTGAAATAGTTGAGTTAAGCCTTAGCGTGTAAAAATTTTTGTAAAAATAAATTTACTAAATTCATGCAAATTATCAACAATGTGAATTTTTTCTTTGCAAAATATCATAATTAACAAAATAGTAATTAAATTCCATATTTTAAACAGTACATAATATACATTTTAACCAGAAATAGACGCGTCTTATTATTGACAACTTTTATTAACACCACAGTCACTCACATGACAAGTAACCACTTTGGAAAATAATAATTACTTAATAAATATAATAGTATAATACTCTAACAATTACAAAAATCTAGGAGCTTATTTCTTGCGTGCCCAATTATGCCAACCTGTCATTAAATATCGGTTACAAAGTCATGAGATTTACTAACCTTTTCTTTCATGCTATATTGCCATAAGGAATTTTCTTCTTACTTGCACACTATGTCAGTCTATTACTATCCTAAATCTATGAGTCTAATAGATAACTTAAATTATTTTTGGCTTAGCTTTCCATTGACGTCCGTCGAGTTGGATTTTGATATTTTTTTTTACAAAAAGGATACATTATTATAAGCACATAGGCAACGGAAACGGATAATTTTTGAGAAAAAAATTTATTGAAAATCAAATATTTTTGCAATATTTATGTCAATTCCTACCGTAAAACTGACGCTATTTTGTATTGTCATTGTCATCGTCAGTAGGGATGTTGATTCTTTCCGAAAAAGATCGATTTTTAAATCAATTCGAACCGTAAGCTGATGTATCGATTCACAAAAAATCGATTTCTAAAATATCCATATTTTTTCATGTTTGCATTTATAATGTTAATATAAATCCATTTTATGAAAAACAAGAAAGATACCACAACAAATGATCTCTTATTAAAATTTGTTTTATTTTAACAGTACCTATCAGGGCAGATAACAAATAAAATAGGTTAGGTTCAACTTATGTCAAAGAACCGAATTGATTGACCCCGACTCCACCTGGTACGAGTCTGTCCTACCCCTAGAGTGGTTTTATAAAGCCAGAGGCGCGTAGGGGGAGCAGCCTCCGCCTGCCTCTGCTTTCGCCTTCGCAGCTTCAGCTTGTTGGTCGCCTTCGGCGACCAGCCACAGCCGCTACGGCTCGTCCGATGCCTGCGATTTGTTACGCAAAGGCGTAGAGGCTGCTCTTCCCGTAGCGTCGGAGACGTAGCAGTCTCAAAATAGATACAGAAATTCTTCTGAATCAGTCCCCCTATTTTTTTATGATGAAGGGGATTTTTTCTCATAAAATGGATTTATATTTACATTATAAATGCAAACATAAAAAAGTATAGATATTTAGAAATCGATTTTTTGTAAATTGATACATCAGCTTACAATTCAAATCGATTTAAAAAAATCGAACTTTTTCGGAAAGAATCGACATCCTTACTGACAACAACAATACAAAATAGCGTCAGTTTTTCGGTAGCAATTGACATAAATATTGCAAATAAATAGTTGAATTTCAATATTTTTTTTCTCAAAAAATACGTGTCCCCGAATGTTGAAACTTTGTGCGTGTGCTTATAATAATGGAACCTTTCTTTAATAATGGAATTAGTGATTGGCATAAATATTGCAAAAATAATTGATTTTCAATTTTTTTTTCTCAAATAATTACGCATATTCGTATATTGAAACTTTGCGTGTGTGCCTATAATAATGTAACCTTTCTGTAAAAAAAAAATATCAACCCCCAACTCGACGGACGTCAATGGAAAGTCGTTACTTATTTTTCTATACCTTGGCACACGATAATGATATTTCCGGAAAATTTAGCGGGAAGAGTGACCCGAATTAGCACTTCTTTATAGTTTGTGGACCCAAAGAATACTACTCTATAATCATTGATTCTTTTACAAATAATGTTTTGTTAATCTTTTATCGATGCTAATAGTGCTCGATGGCAGTTTTGTGTGTATATGATACAGTATTGTGAAGCAGTGTAGCAGTGTAGTGTACTATGAACGATAATTACATTGTAACTTCAGGCTCAGAAGGGCTAGAGGGCTAGAACCCAGAGCCGTAAAGCCAATTATAAAAAAATATAATAACCTCTGTATGTATATTCTACAAGTACAATTTTAGTTTTTACTTTTATAACTCAAATAAGGCAAAATAATCACAGAGCACTTTTTACTAAGAAGTAAATACTTTATATAGGCACCTATCTAACTTTTGGGAATTTTATGAAAACAGAAATGAAAAGAAAAAATTCCGATATTGAGGAACAAGAATCGAGGTATGTCATTTTTTTCTATATATTAAATTATTGCTTACATTATTTATAACGTATGTATTTATTTTATCATTTACGAAATTCTGTCGATAAAGAAAGAAACCTGAAAATAATTTATGTATTATCCATTTTAATATTAATATATCTATCCTTTTAGGTTATCGTCATTGCTTTTCAACAAAGCCAAAAAATTTACTGAACAGCTTTCAACTCAGACAGATTCATTTAAGTATGAAGAACGCAAGCCTGCTTGGATTGATGAAGATGACGAACAGTTTGTGGCAACTGATAAACTTACTTCAAAAAAACAAAATTCATATACAAATAAACTTAAGCAGAAATATGAAATATTAATGGGCACACCAACTTGGGCAAGCCTGAATAAAAAAGAGAAGCAAGAAGAAGAGGATGACAATGAATTATTAAGAACTGTTGGTCATTTACAGAAACAAAAGTTGACTAGCCTTCGAAAAGATTTTTTAGAATTTAAGAAGTTCCCAAAAATTAATGCTGAAACAGGAAACGAAGGACCCATTATTTCATGTTTAGAGTTTCATCCTAAACTTAGTGTTGCACTTGTGGCTGGTCAATCTGGTGTAGTTTCATTGTTCGGTATAGGTGGTGATGTTAACAATAAACTGCACAGTTTCAAGTTAAAGAAATGGAATGTCACTGCTGCTCAGTTTACTCCTGATGGGTCAGAAGCTTTCATTGCCTCCAAAATCAACCACAGTTATTGTGTCTATGATTTGGTAAAGGCAGAACCTAAATTGACACAGTTACCAAAAATTGTAAAGAGGCCCAAAATTTTTAAATTATCTTCTGATGGCAAATTTATTGCTGCTAGTGATGGTCTAGATGAAGTGTATATTATATGTGCTAAGTCCAAGGAGCTTTTGCGATCACTGAAGCATAACACCAAAGTTGAGTCAGCTGCATTTAGTGCAAAAAGTGACAAGTTATTTTGTTATGGCATACAAGGTGAAATTACAGTATGGGACATGTCAACATATAAAGTTTTAAACAAATTTTATGACCAAGGTTGTGTAACAGCTTCAGAGATAACAACTAGTTCATGTGGAAGATTACTAGCCACAGGTAGCGGGGAAGGTATTGTTAATGTTTATGAAATGGCAACATTAAATGCTTCAGATCCTATTCCAATTAAAACAATCTCAAACTTGATAACTAAAATCACAAATATAAGGTTTAATGCCACATCTGAAATACTAGCATTGTCCTCAGGTTACTATCCTAATGCCATAAAACTTGTACATTTACCATCTTACCATGTATTTTACAATTTTCCTCAACAAGAAAACTTGTATCAAGTAGAAACTGTAAGCTTTTCTCCAAATAGCGGTTATATGGCTTTAAGCAATAATAAAGGATGTGCTTATTTGTACCGATTGAAACATTATAAAAATTACTAATTTTGGTTATAAACTCTGGTCTTTTATTTCATTTAATAATTTTATGTTCTTACTAATTGCCCATGCCTTTTGCGTCTTCACATTCACATTAATTTCTTTTATTTATTTAATAATTATTCTTGTCTTAGCATAAGCTAGTTATGAATATGAAAGAAAAAAATAAGTGATTAACACGTTCATTGCCAAAGCTAAAATTTGAGTTTTGTGCTGGTGGCCCAAAACTTTTTTTTTATGAAATAACTCTTAAGTACAGCAAATACTATTTGCGGGTGTTTTTATGGTTTTAGTATATATATTTAATATTTTATATAATATAGTTATATATCACTCGACGTCGCGTGATGGGCCATGTGGAGTGTACATTTATCCTAAGGGGCCCCATCACGCGACGTCGAGTTTTGGGATACCTTAGCACTTTTGTCCAATTATGAGTTCAAATGTATAAAATTAAATATTTTTAGTATCAATAATTTTTATTTGAATTATATAACATAAAAAATAACAAAATATCAAAGAAACATGCAACATAAAAATATCTAAATATTTTAGACACCGAACTTTAGGAAAGAACTACTATAATAACTTTACTATATTAGGATAACAATCAGGAACATATATTTCTAATCAGTCTTAGTAAATAAATCAGATCTAAAGATTTATCAAAACAAATAATATTTGGTAATTTAGTTTTTGGTACAAGTATGTAACATAAAAAAACAGTCCATGCACATAGGCGGACTATCAGGACAATCCTTACATTCCATCGTAGTCTGCACTCGTTTTTTATTTTTGTAGCAATTTCGGCAATCTTTTCTTGCAACTGCTTGCACTTTTCTTTCTGGCCCCGTTTTTATTATCCGTTCCGTCGTTTTGAATATTTTCGTCAACTTATGACTTTGTTGACTTCGATTTCCCGATGAGGATTCAGGTATTAGTGGATTTTCAGGTAAAAAAATTTCAATGATTTTCTCCCTAAAGTCGTATAATGAAAGCTTAGGTTTTCCAGAGAACTTGTTATATAATAAACGAGAATTTACCAAACTCATCATCATCGTATGTATAAAAATTTTTAAGTACCAGCGTAAAGTTTTTCTTTCGCATGGGTAATATGAAATCATTTGATCTTGAAGATCAACTCCTGACATGCTTTCGTTATAACGTACTATAGCCAATGGCTTCAGTGTTGTAATACCACGTTTACTGGTAACTTCTTGCATCTCGTCAGCGAACTCTGTCGATATATAACGGATTTCTCTTTTATCTTTCCATTTACCAATATGGACTCCATTTCTATACCGCGAGATATTTTCGCCTTTTTTTAATTTTTTCGCAGTTATAACGCGTGGATTATCTTTACGTTTCTTGTTGAGAGTGCCGGTACAATAAGTAAGTCGACTCAACAGTTTACTAGCTAAGGTATATGAATTATAAAAATTATCCATATAGATGGAGTGGCCAGCGTCCAATTTATTTGCATCAATTTTTCAACAATTTTTTCGGTGTGGCCCTTTCCGGCTGTTTCATCTTCTGTGCTAGCAAACACGTGGAAATTTAAAATCAAGCCATCCGGTTCTGCGAGCACGTACAGTTTGATGCCATACTTGTGGCGTTTTCCTTTGATGTATTGTCGGAAAAATAGGCGGCCACGCCATAAAACCATCGACTCGTCTAAAGATATGTTCTGGCCTGGATAATACATATTATTCATTGTATTATTGAAATTGTCGACTATTTTTTGACATTTATTTAGACGCCTAGCAGTGGCGTCTTCTTCTTCATCAGGGAGAGTAAAATGTATACAACGTAAAATAATAAAAAATCTGTTTCTTGACATGTATTTCGAAAAGCATGATTTATATAACCAGTGACCCTTCCAATAATCTGTCAATCGGTTCATTTTTGCAGTGCCAGTATGTAACAGAAGGCCCAGAAATGTTTTGAACTCTTCAACGGTCAACTCTTTCCATCTTGAAATACGTGCATGATGATGTTCACTGGAGCTTTTCATACGTTCGGCGTATCTGTTTGTGCACTCCACGATCATTCTCAAATATTCTTCATTGAAAAATAAACAAAAATAATCTATTGGATGTGATGGCGGTTCTACATACAGCTTTGACTCTCGAACGAATGGTATTTGTTTCATAGACGAGCAAGAAGTACTCCAGTGTGAGGTTGATCCTTCGGTGGCAGGTTCAGGAGACTCATGTGGCATAGCTGACTCTTCAATCGTTTCATTCATTTCCTCCCTTTCTGCAGATGAAAATCGAATTTCACTAGGCGGTAGCGGTGATATAACTTCTTCCTCATCTTCTTCCGACTCCAGGGTTGAGCTGTCTCCATCATCATCACCCAATAAAAAATCTTCGTCTTCATCACTTCCCACAAAATCATCCTCATCAGAGTTTCCTAAAGCTTCAAGAATATCCGATTCGTGCAACAAAACACGTTTTGATTGCGCTCGCAAAGGTATCTCGTTTGATCGTTTCGTACCCCTAGAGGTACCAGGTTGATGATTACTCATTATAAATTTTGTTTTATTATAATTATTATCACTTTATACTACAAAAAATACGTATTATTTATTCACAACTAACTAAAAACAAACAAGAAAAAAGTCCGGCTCGAGCCTCGACGCTAAGCGAACTAACCAATTACGTAGCACTAAAACTATCGCATGATTCGGATGGCCACGCCCACTTTACTATAGCTCAGTCCTTACTCTAGAGGCCCATAAAAAACCCCGTTGCGATAACGCTTCGGCCCAGGCAATACGCTTCATACAAAACTCGTCGGACACTTCACGCGACGTCGCGTGAAGGGCCAAATTGAAGAGTACTGGGAACACGCGACGTCGCGTGATTGGCAATTAACGTGTTAATAAATATAATTTATTTTAACAAGAAAATAAAAAATAGCTATAGTTCTAGAGCGAAAGATCAGTTGTCCTATGCACTAGATAGAGTATAACATTCCCGTTGTAAATAAAAACTAACGAAAAAAGTGCAGCAGTTTGTCTTCTTAGTAGCTGGTGATGCAATATTGCTGCTCTAACTAGTGCTGTTAAATCAGTCTTAATTGCACTTTGTATGGTGCATATTTAAATAGGTTTTTTTAGAATTTTAGATCATTTTGTTTGATAATTAATGTATTATATTGAAAAATGTCTGAAATAAATGAAACCAATGTAAAAAGCACTTAGAAGAAGACGATTGTTATTCAGAATATACAAATTTTGTATGTGAAAACAGTTTGGAAAGAAATGTCACATCTTCAGTATTTTGAGTATTTTATGATATGATTGACATAATACTAATTTGCACTAGTGATCAAACACCTTCAGACTACAAAAAAAGAAGTGGAATCACTTGGTTTATCAGATTTGGTGCATTCTGGTTGTTGAAATACATTTGATTTATGCGCAACGGATGGGCCAGGGATAGATATCTTTAGAGGTAAAGTGAGTAGAAACAGATTTGCTTTCTTATTGAATGCGACATTTGATATTGCAGGCACATGAAGAAAAACAATGACCAAATTCTTACATTCCCTATGAAAACTTCAATAAAAAACTTTAAAGATTTGCAATTCAAATATTTAACACTTATAATATATCATCATTAGACATCGGATTATACGTGCCAAATATCAGAGATTTAAATGTATAGGTATGCTATAGAGCGGACATTGTGAACATTTGCATACAAAAATGTTGAGCTCGCACGACGCTCTCTAGCTAAACATAGCAAAACTACGCAGCATATTTATTAGGAAAACATTTCAGCTATTCCCCAGTAGGTAATAATATAAGGTAACCCGTTTTAGGAATGTTACCGTTTCGGCATCAAAGTATCGATAATCTTGTTGAAGGTTACCTACTTAGTTTGTAATGTTTTACGATATAATAATAGGGAATATGCATGCTTTTTTATTGTACAAATCTATTTATTATGAATCCTATCACACCAAAAAAATCATATAAACTTATTATGAAGCAAATACAAAGTTTGTATTTGCTTCATGGTGAGCTCCTTCAACTTGAGCTTGACCGCATAGAGAACAGAGCGGCTCGACGTCGACGACCGAGTTGTCTTTGATTGAATTTATGTGGTAGGTACATTACATATACATTATACTTGCGATAGTAAACCGAAATCACATTCAGTTATTGCTACATATCGGGACTTACAATACCTATATGCACTATAGGGCATATTTTCTTTAAAAATATTTTTTTTAATTTGGGAAGGGAATGCGTTTTCAGCTTTTGACGATGTCACTATAAATCATAGATAAATATATATGTAGCAAGCTATAAATGACACAAATCCGAAATATATCCTATAGGACATAAGTAAGAGGTGACAATATTGTTGCTGATGTCCCGTCTATTACTACTACTACTTAAATGTCTTTGCAAAATATACATGCAAATATGCACTAAAAAGGCCGAAATATGCCCTTAAAACTGTTGATATGCCCAAAATATGGACTATGCAAAATCAAAAAACCGTTTTTGTTTTATTATACTTTAATTAAAGACGGTACAAAAAAAGCGAAATGTTCTTAAAATTGTGCTTAGTTTTTATGACAATATACAATTATTTTCCAAATTTTTGAACGCAAATTTGTGACTTTTGTCACCCAGTATTAATTTGTGCGCCGAAAAGCCGAAAACGATCTCTCGAATTTGGGCAGTCAGTGCAGTCAGCCGTAAAACCGTATTGGCGGTCACTAATCAGCTGGTGATCCTCCAGGTACCGCATGAGGTGGCAGTTTATAACGGATTGCATTATTTTGGAGAACAAGGGGGTGATGGCGATAGGCCTGTAGTTGGACGAGTCTGAGCGGTCGCGTTTTTTAGGGATCGGGTGGACAAAAGCTGTCTTCCATGATTTCGGGACTACGCCTAGGGAGTAGGAGTACCGGAAAAGACGCGTTAGAACCGGTGCCAACTCCGGAGCACACGTCCTCAGCACAATTGGGGGGATTCCGTCAGGCCCACTCGACTTGTGGATGTCAAGGGAGAGGAGTGCTCTGCGAACCGACCGCTGTGAGAATCGCACATCCGGCATGGAGCACACACCGCGGGATGGTCGGCGGTGTGTTCCCCCTGTCATCAACAGTCGAGTTGGACGCAAAAAGGGAGCCTAAAAGGTCGGCTTTCTCTTTTGCGCCGTGGGCCAGTGAGTCGTCCTCCCTGTGCAGAGATGGTAGTGATGGCTTACAGAAAATCCCTTGGACAGCCTTGGCGAGAGACCAGAATGCACAGGTTCGTGAAGGAAGGCGAACTAGTTTCTCGCCAATTCTGCCTATGTGCTCTGACTTTGCCTTGGCAATAACTCTTTTGAAGGACCTGGAGGCGAAGTTATACTTCTTTTTAAGTATGCTGGTGTTTACATCCCGAGTCGCCGAAGCCGCAGCCCAGGCTTGATAACACTCCTGCTTACTGCGTAAAGCAGTCTTACAGGAGCGACCAAACCAAGGCTGAGATCTGCCTCCGATGGGTACCATAGATGATGGAATAAATAGTTCCATTCCCTGTAGCACCACATCAGTGACAGAGTCAGCAACAGCGCTGGGATCATCCGGCGAGAAGCAAACCCGCCCCCATGGGTAGGAAGCAAAGAAAGACCGCATTCCGTCCCAATCCGCCGACCTGTAATGCCAAATACGGCGGCAACCTGCAGAACGCAACCGCGAGGGGAGCATAAGTGGCACTACACTCCGGATCAGACAATGGTCCGAAGAGCCGAGAGGGGCATCGACGGAAACCTGATATCCGTCCGGATGAGAGGTCAGCAGAAAGTCCAACAGGGAAGGTGTATGATCCTCAACATCTGAAATCCGCGTAGGCGATGTAACCAGTTGTGTCAGACCATATGCCAAGGCAAAGTCATAAACAGATCTCCTCGTATGGTCGGTTAAACATGAACCGAGCCATTCGGCGTGGTGGGCGTTAAAATCGCCAAGGATCACGAACTCTGCGGATGGGACCTGTTGTAGCAAGGAGTCTGTAGCCATTTGGACGTGGTTGATGAGTCGGTCTGTTTCGGCATTACCGCTATGGGACCTATAGAGGCACACGTAGACGCGCGGATGGTCGTCGCTGTCTACGCGTAGCCAAAGGATGGACAGGTCCGAACCTTCAAGACTGCCGAGGCGTCGAGAACAGATGTCCTCTCTGACATACACGCAAACTCCAGCCCGAGGCGCAAAGGAGTGCTCCAATTTGTACCCTGGGCAGGAGAGATACGAAGTATCAGCCGGTGAGGACACCTGCGTCTCGGTCAGAAAGAGCAAGCCCGGCTTCGTCGTCTCGAGATGGTAGTGAACGGCGTTTAGGTTCGAGTAAAGTCCCCTGATGTTGCAGAAATTCACGGATAGCGTAGCAGGGGTCGCCTTGGTCTTGTTGCTCAGTTTGCCCCGAGCAGTTATTGTGTTGAGCGGAATTTTGCCCCCCCCCCAGAATACGCGGGGCAGCTTGAGCACCCACGCTTAGGAGTGGAATAGCATGGTCGTGGATGCTCAGCGAGGGATTCTCCAGGGGTACTGGTACCCTCCTGGGGTAGTTTATGATGTAATTCCGCTACCATGTTGACGGGGGGGGGGGGGGGGGGGGATCGGGCCTCTAGTCACCTGCACTCACCAGACGAAACGCAGAAGCAGAGCTTCCACTTCGCGCTGGTATTCTGTGAGGTCGTGGTACTAGCCCGGCTTGAGCCGGCCCACACGTGCAACAGCAAAAGCTGCTGCGTGACTCTACCCCTGTTGACCACCACAAATACATAAAATCCGATGTCTAATCATCATCATTACAGCCCTTCATAAATCCACTGCTGAACATAGGCCTCTCCCAAGGAATGCCAAAAAGGATTGCCCTGAGCCACCTGCATCCATCGACTTCTTGCATGTCTTACCAGGTCGTCACACCAGTTACTAGGTTACACTTCTCCTACCAATACGAGGCTGCCACTCGAGAACTTTTTCCTCATCAGTTGTTAGTTCTTTAAGCTATATGACCGGCCCATTGCTGCTTTAGCTTACTAATCCGTTGGACTATGTCGGTCGCTCAGTTTCTACTGTGGATATCCTCATTTCTAAGTTTATCACGCAAAGAAACCCCGAGCATAGCCCTCTCCATAGTTCGCTAATCGACCTTGAGCGTCCTTATACGACCACCAGTGAAGGTTTTGAGGTATATTTGACGAGAAGATGTCTCGTAATTTCCCGAACGCTGCCCAGCCGAGTTGAATCCGTCGATTGACCTCTCGGTCGAAGTTGGACTTATATAGTCGGACTATTTGTCCCAGGTAAGCATACTCGTGAACAACTTCGTGCTTAGTGCTCCCAACAACTACCGGCATAGGTGTGACCACAGACTACTAAGAGGATACTACGCATGGTTGTGACATCGACATTGCACATAATCTTTGTTTTGTCCATGTTTACGATCTATCCGTTGTCGTCACTACGAAACTCACACAACAATTTCACACACACACAGATACATTATAAAACTAT